CACTCGTGTAAATTGCAGTGCCTTTTGGGGATGTGAAAGGACAAAAGGCAGGTTTGGGGAACAGCTGGTACTTCAAGTTTTTGCCAGTAGCTCAAATATTTGAAAAATCCATCTTGTCTCTTGTAATAGCTGTGCTCTGCTGTTGTTTGGAAAGATTGCACATGGTGTTTTTCATCTTTCAAGTTTGTTCCTGTACATCTGCTCTCTACGTGATTTTCTAAGAATCTGACTTGCCAAGGCAGTGTCAGACTTCTTGCAAGCAGTTTAACAGCTGCTGTCCAGGGCAAGGCAGACTGAGTTGACCTGGAGTGGTACTTCTGTGGCTGTGGGGGAAGCATGCAAAGAAAAGCAAAAATGCTTTGATTAAGTCTTCCCATAGCACACTTGCCTCTACAGCAATGAGTACTGGGATAAGTGCCTTCTAACTTTAAGACAAAAGGCAAGTTGTTATGGAGTTGTTATACAAGTTTTTATGGGAGGGGGAGAGAGAAAGAAGAGAAAGGGAGGTGAGAATACTGAGGAAGTGTGCAAAATCTGAATTTTAATGGGTTGATCTAAGCTAATTCAAGCTTTTGATGTCCTGTCCTTTCAGAATGTGTGTGGAAATTGAGTTGCTAATGCCTGGAGGCTTTGGAGGGCAGTGTCCATTTGTACTCCAGTCACAGTTCAATCCAGCCAGATGTCGAATCTGATCCATGTCCAGTGAGGCACTCATGGGTTTAGTGAGTTGTGAAGCAACATCTCACCCTCTTAGTTTTTCTTTTCCCCCCTTTTGACTCCTCTAATTTTTCTGGTCTGATACTAATGTTTCATACATTTCCATTTCAGCCAGTTGTATATGTGCAATATAGCATCTTTCCAGAGTCTTGTGCTTGATGCAGCTGATGGTTTAAAGGCAGCTGTCAGGTGTAGGTGGCCTCACAGTGGAGATGAACCTCTTTATCCAAACTATAAGTTTTTGGTTTCATTGTGTACTTAGATGGGGTAAAATGAGTAAAAAAATTACAAACTTAGCATTGGGACCAATCTATTGCACTGACATAACTTCTGAAAATAATAATTTATTTGCATTAGATTTTTCAGTTATTTGTGGATGGAAGTTTTTCTGTTTTGGGCTGGAGTTGTTTTTTTTTTTTTTTTTCACGGGGCTAGTAGGGAGCTGTGTTTCAGATTTGTGCTCAACCCAGGGTTGATAAATTAGAGGTGCTATTGCTGAGCAGGGCTTACACAGAGCCACAGCCTTTTCTGCTTATTGTACTTTGACATTGTCAAGGAGAATACTGGGGTGCTTGGGAGATTTGGGAAGAGACACAGCTGGGACAGGTGACCCAAAATGACCATGGGAGTATTCCAGACCATGTGACATCATGCTCAGTGTATAAAGTGAGGAGAAAAAGGAGGAAGAAGGGGGGATGTTTGGAGTGATGGTGCAGTACTTTGGCTACCCAGGTCACCATTATGTGTGATGGAGCCCTGCTCTAGTGGAGATGGCTGAAAAGCTGCCTGCCTGCCCATTGAATTAATTCCTTGGTGTGCTTTTCTTGTGTGGGCAACTTTTGTTTTCCCTATTAAACTGTCTTTATGTCAACCTATGAGTTTTCTATCTTTTACTCTCTTGATTCTCTCCCTAATCCAGCTGGTGGGGGACAGAGAGAGCAACTCTCTGGGGGGCTTGGCTCTTGGCTGGGGTTAAACCATGGCAGAAGGGAAGTTATTAAATCTCTGTACTGCCAAATTGAATATGATTTCTAAATGCCAGTGTATTTAATATAGTGACATCACAGTGTATCTCTTGTCTAGAAAGAAACTGGGACTGAGTGTGACTCAAAACAGGTGGAAGATGAATGTGGAAGGCAGTGGAATTGCCATTGCAAATTCTTGATTTCTGCTCCTGGTAACACACTCCCATCAGTCTCTCATGTCTCTCATGAGGACCCTGTCATTCAGAGGCTGTTTTGTCTTGATTCCTTGTCTGACTTCTTGCTACCTAGATTTTGAAATTAATTTAGCCTCACTTCTTTAAAAAGGATTAAGTTCATCTGAGTTGTGTGTGGTGAAGAGAAAGGTGGTTGTGCTTTAGTAGTAAGGACACAAGCTTTTTACTTAGTAATAGGTTAATATCTGAATAGGTCTGTAAGTGTTTAATTCAGTTAGGTAAAGGGTTTAAATTAGAATAAACTTAATGCAGTTGCAGAGTTCTTTTTCTCTGATTAGGAGTAGGTAGTGGATTGCTTAATTTGTTGAATATATTTACTCATTGGTGTTCAGTTTACCTTTTGGAATTAAACGTCAAACTGAAATGAGGTTGCTACATGATAATTTAAATCATGCATTCAAATATGAAAGTTGTTTATTTTCCCCTGCCCTCAGCCGTGGTGTGTGCTTTAGCCTGCTCTTTAGAGAAATGGGATTTCTTGTGTTGGTCTGTCACTCCCCTGGTAGCTCTTGAGCATACTGGACCATTTCGTCAGTAAGTGACAAGAAAACAAAAAGCTCAAACTGCAGTTGTATGTTTTCTTCAAATTAGCTTTTACAGGCAAGAAAGAACACTGTGTGGAGAAGGGACTGAAATAAGAGCTCCTGGTGGAAGGCATTCTGATTGTACCCAGTGTGGTAGGTGTTTCAGGAGGGAGCAGATGCTGAGCTGGGCAGTGCGCAGCCAGCTTCCAGCTGGGCCCAGGGTGCTTCCAGTGGGCTAGTGAAGGAGTTGGGTGAACTGCAAGAGCTGAGGGCAGGGGGCAGCTCTGAGAGTGCTAGACAGAAAGCCATGGGAAAACCAGCCTTGTCATATAATTAATTTAGCACTAATTTGTGCTCCTTTTATTTCTTACAAATTATGTTTATATGAAATGCATTTTCACTGTAACATTCACATTACAGTGGAAGAATTCCTCATAATGATTCCTATTTCGCAGCTCCAGTGCACTAGCCTGTTTGCAGAGTGTTGGTGCTAGATGTTGCTCTTCAGTAATAGTGAATTTCCAGTTTTGACTTACTGTTCAGAAAAGTGTCTGCAATGGATATGAAGTAGTATTTTGAAATATATGTGTTTGTAGAGGAATACAAAAACATAGAACAGAAACAGGAAGGTTTTTTTTATCAAATACAGAAATGGTTCATCTGTTACCTCTGATGTGTTGTGTAAAATTTAGCAAACTCAGCTAACCTTAAATTCTAACATATTCAAATTGTCTCATATTAAGAAAGAAGAGCAATATAATTCAAGACTACTGCTTAGGAGTCATGAGCTTGTTCCTTCCTGACCTGTTATGAAATAGTCTTACAGTTAAATAGTTTCTTTTTGTTCATTAAGGCTGTTAAGCTTTTAGAAATGTTCTTGAGAATAAAATATTTTAAATTTCAGGCGGAAGTAATTACAAAAATTACTGTGCAACATTTGAAAGACAAAAGGATTTTTTAATTTACTAATGTGATTTTAATTAGAGAAATTGAAAGGCTACTTTAATTGCTTTAATACAGCAAAAAAGAAATTTTCAGCTAAGTCTTTCCCAGATGACTATGTCCTTGGTAATAATGTAATTTCTTGTTCCAGAAAATTTCCATGCCACATGCTTTTAAACAGAATATTATTCATGAGTAGAACATGGACATTGAATTGTTGCTGTTAAAAATGTAATCAAGTTGACTATTGTGTTTGTATAGTTTTAAAGAACTGCTTTAGATGTTTTTGTTATATATTGCTTCCCTTTTAGGATAATTCTGTCTTGGGCGTCCTTGCTCTCAAAGCTGCTCTCTGCAGGACAGTGTTTTCCATGCCATTGTGCCCTTTTTGTGATGCTTTGAGATCTCTTTTTGTGTTTGTTTTCCCCATCTGCCGTGGTTTAGGAATGGTACTCCACAATTTAGTTCTCCTCCCGAGAGAGACTTTCCAAAGCACACTGTCATTTGCTCACTCCCCTTCTCCCCCTCTTCTGCCCCCCAGCCCCGGGTATGCACAAAAGGCAAAGATCATAGCTTGAGATTAGAACAATTTACTGGAAAGCAATGAGATAAGAAAACAAACAGTAGCAGCAACAATATTAATAAGAAAAATGTATAAAAAGAGAATTATTCACGTGCAAAAATGCTCAAAAAATGCAGAGCCTGACTTGACAGAAGCCAGGTTGTTCCTGACTGTAGAGGAATGCACTGACTCTTGGAAACTGACTCTTGGAGAGGAATCCCTTTTCCCTGCCTCTGGCAATGATGTGAGATGGTATCAAATAACAAAATGTCTTGGTCCCTCCCCTTGGTCTGGGCTGGGACCAAGACATCATCCTCATTTATTTCATTTCTCCAAGAAAACCAGTTCTGACAACCTTAGTTTTCTCAGATGAATGTCTTCCTGCATCTGGCATGTTCTCAAAAGCTGTTCAGTGAATGCCCTTATCCCATTTAGAATGCCATACAGCTCCACCTGTGGAAAACCATCTTCTTCCTCATGCAGCCCTGATTCTGAGAGGCACTTGCCCTTATGTGTCAGATGAATTTATCATTTTTACTGAAAACTGTCAGAGCTGGGGTAGGTCGGTGTCTGACGTAATTGAGGGCTGTAGTGCTTGGTCGGTCTGTTGGTGGCCAGCTTGCCAAGGCAGGATGCCAGCCTGCTCCAGACAGTGACCTTTCCTGCCACTCCTGTGGGGACTGCCAGTTTTTTCTAAATGCAAATGTGCACTGAAGTCCAGTGATTCTGGAACTGCAGCACAAGTCTGTGCATACAGTAAATCTTACACCAAGTCTAAGGCAGAAAGCCTACATTGCCTATATTGCCTTTACTCTCTGCTGCTCTGCAGCACTCTTGTCATATTCTGGCAGGAGTGCACAACTCTGGTGCCCTAGTAGGAATTGTACAGTATCTTACAGTGGGAAGGCTGGAGCAAGGCTTTAAAAGAAGAAAGGTGAAGTACTTTTTGGAGAAAAAAGACTGAATGTGTGCTACACTGGTTCAGAGCTCAATTTCATTTTTGTAAATGTCATACATATTTGTTTGTAAATTCCAGATTGTGAGCCATGCCTTTGGTGAAAAGGAACATTGAACCACGGCATCTCTGCCGAGGAGCTCTGCCAGAGGGAATTACAAGTGAACTGGAATGTGTAACAAATAGCACCCTTGCTGCTATCATACGCCAGCTAAGCAGCTTAAGTAAGTATCTGTAACTTCCTGCAAGTATTTGATTCATGATGAAAAGCTTTGAGATGGATTGTTTTAAATAGCAAAAATATTGTATGGGACATTACCATTTATATATTGTAATAATATGCTATAATAGTAATTGCCTTTATGTTCTTCTATATTTTGAAGTTTATTAAAAACCCAACCCTCTCCCCACCCCCAAACCCCACTCTAAAAAACAAATTAACAAAAAAACAAGCAGAAAAAAAACAACTACCAAGAAAAGCCCCAACCAAAAGACCAGAACATAGAAGACCAGGAATTTTTCTAAGTGAGAGAAATTAGTGCAAGAAACAAGACCAGCACTTGAGTTCTATAGGATTGAGCCAGCAAACTCTTCTGCCTCTTGGCATCAAATGACACATTTGACTGAAATTTTAGTTTTTCGTAGTGTGCTAGTATTTCTTAAGCCTTCTCCTTTATAGATATGTATGCTCAATTCATATGAATGAAATTAAGTGCCTTGAAAGGATGCCATTTGCTGAGCAGGCTACTCTTGATGCAGGCTAACATCAGCTCTGTTGAGAGTAGCCTACACATCACACCTGTCAGGTGACACCACCACTAGCAATTCTAGAAGCATGACTGGAGCATTTGCAAGATGAACAATATTTTTGATGAAAGGGATAAGAGATGTTTTTCAGACAGTCTTTAACAATCAGCAGCTGTTGTTTGTGCTGATAACGCTGCTCCTAGAAAAGAAATTACTGCTTCATCAGTTGCTTCTCTTTGTAAATAGACGTGGTTTTAAAACTGAGAGTCTGTATGGAGCTCAGACTATGGGGCCCACTGGTGTCTAGTTCATGATGATAGGAAAAAGCCTTTGCTTAGGGAAAGAGGACAAGAGACACAGCATTTCCTCTTTGCAGTAGTCAGGGATTTAGGGATTTTTCTGAGCTGGAAGTCCATCTGAATCATCCTGTGTAATGAGTATTTGTAAAACTATCACCTGTGGTAGTGCTTAGATCTGTTGAAATAGGGATTACACCTTCTTCTTGACCAATGACCTTTGGCAGAATATCCCAAAATGGAAATTGACCTGTTTCTTCCTTTTGATACCTTCTCATTCTAGTGTGATGAAAAATAATGAAAGGTGCTTTCATCTTGTGCATTTCCATAATAATTTGTGATTTTGTTAAGTCTTTATCCTGTTCTCCTGGTGATATCTTTTCGAGGTTGAAGTGTCCTGATCTGTAAGTGATCTTTTTGAATAAAAACCATTTTGTATTTCTGATCACTGTTATTTCTGCTTTGAATATGTAAGTTAGAGTATGCTGTGGGTTTTTAAGGTGGAGTGTTGAGGACTTCAAATCATATATTCAAAAGAGACTTCTGTTTTATCATTATTGCCCTAGGAATTTGTAGAATTTTGATTGTTTCTAAGCATTGAATTATTATTTTCAGATAAGCTTGCAAGTGATCCTCTGATCTGTCTTGAACAGCACCTTATGATTTAATGTCTAATGTTATGTAGAATTACTTTGTGTTTGCATTGTCATTGAGTTTCATTTACTGTTTTCTCAGACAGTTGCTCAGTAGTGCCATCCTTAAGTTTCAGAAAAGTGAGAATGGCTAATGTTCTAATTATACTGAAGAATACCTCATTTTGAATGATAAGGCCTCATTTTGGTATTGTGCTATGATTGTCCAGATGTGGAAAATACACTTTTTACTTGTCTGACTTGCTAGGAATGGGTACAGCTTTCATTTATCCAGATTTGGTCTTGGGGCTAATCTGTTATACCGTGTATTTAGATCCTCTTATGATTGTTGCCGAGGAACTGACTACTTATATTCGAATCCGGCAGTTTTCCCTTAGCAGATTTCTAGGGTCATCTGAAGTCTTTGTAGACAGCCCCTAAAGTTCTGTTAGTGTCAAGTTAAAGATCTGTGCAAATAAATGATGTGTCCTTAGTCTTAACAGATGACTATGTGGTATTTAACAAGTGAAATGTACCACTGTTCTCATCCACAGTCTGAAATATGTCATGTTTGCAGAGGTTTTTTTCTGCAGACAGCATTTGCTTTGCCTGTCTTTTGAGCCAACTGGGAGCAAGGAAATGATCACAGAAAAATGCTGTGCTGGAGCTGAAGTAGTATGTCCTGCTGACTGCATCAGAGCTGGTTGGTGTTCCCACAGCTTGAGGTGTAGAGCAAGCAAGTTCAGGTCTATCTTGCAGTCACACTCATTTTTTTAGTGTTGCACTGTGAGCTGAGTGTGGATTTTAAAAACTGGCAGGTCTGTACTGTTGCATACAAGCTTGGCTTGCTTCTGCCTCTGTTCTGTTTGGGAGATGTGAACAAGTTCCTATCCAAAGGGAATGTGCTCTCAGGAGAGCTTTTTCTGTATTATGTTTTCAGATTTGGGTTCATTTCCAGCCAGCTGGCTCAGAGCACAGGCAGAGTGAGCAGCATTTTGTATGACGCTGTGCACTTTTATGTAAGGCAGAATCTTGTCTAGGGGATTCACCTCCACTTGGGAAGAGAGAATCTGCTGGAGGGGAAGGACAGGGAGCATTTGCAGCCAGTACCTCTAAGTGGCATGGAGGAAGTGTAATCTGTGGAGACTTGGAAGACTTTTTTTTTCATGCAGAGAACAATATTCACCAACTTGCCTCCTAGTATTTTCTTGGGTAGATTGGCCATTGGCTGTTTTCACTAGTTTTCGTGCAGACCTGAGTGCACTACATCCTCCTGTGTCGCTTTCCTCTGTAGTGCTGCTGAACCAGGCTGGGTTGGAAAGGCTGCTTTTTTGCCATTAAGTATCATGCTAGAGGTGCTGTGAGAAAGGAGATGGGAATCAAGACCGAGTCAGTAGCACCCTACCATTTCTGCATCTTTAAAAAAAGAGGAGGGGTAAAGCATGATTCTTATGTTGCTAGTTAATCCAGTTACAGTGATTCCACCCACTCGTGGAATCACTGTGTTACGTAGTTGGAGGGAAACTTGGAAGGAAAGACTGCATAATTTCTTAGGTGGATTTTTAAATTAACGTATAGGTTGGCCAACACCTATTGTTTTTAAATTATTGTCTTAGAGTACCAAAATCAGCTCTTAAATTGAAAGACATATTTTTTCCTGCTTATTTTTGTTTTGTTAACGATCTAATTTAAACAATGGCAACACAGAAAACACTTGAAGTATTATTTTATTTCTAAAACTTCCTGCATCGTGTTAATCACAACAGCGTGTCCAATACTGCTTTACCATGTCACTGTTTTCACAGACAGGAGATTGACAATCTGTCTTTCACATGTTCTGGGCTAGCAAGTGTTGAAAAAAAATCAAATATTAAAAGAAGTATGATCCCACTTTGCCATCTGAAAGATAACTGACAAACATCCATCTCCTTGACTTCTCTAGGGGTGATGTGTTTAATTCTAGGATGTGGCAGTCCTCTCTCAGCAGGCTGATTTCAATATATTAACATAAACTAACATCTATTAAAATTGATTGAGCTCTGAATACTGGTGGCTGAAGAATGTAATAACTGCTGTATTTAGCTGAAGAATTGAAAAGCTTATTTTTTCCATAGCCTGGAATAACATCTTCATTTGAAGCAACTAAATCAAGTGGGGATTATAAGTAAATTTCAACTAGCTGCTGGGAACACTTAGAGAACACTTCTAGTGTGAAGGCAGTTCACTGGCACGGGTAGCCCAGAGGAGTTGTGGAGCCTCGATCCTTGAAAATGTTCAAAACCCAGCTGCTCAGAGTCCTGTCTCATTGTGCTTTGAGCCTGGAATTGGACCAGATGATTTTGAACTTCAGCTCTTCTATGGCTGTGTGTGACTTCTGTTTTGGAGGGGCAGGAGATTAGGCGCAGGTAGATAGCATACCTTTCTTATCCATCTTCCACATATATATATTAAGCAGAGCTTGCATACACTGACATATCTTAACATTTTGGGTTAGTTATTGGCTGATCTTACACGTAGTAATGAAAACTATTACTGGTAAAGTTCTTCATTCAAAGGCCATCACTTTTTTTTCTTGTGATTGATTCACAGTGTTTTCAGATAACGTTTTAGTCTAGTTGTTTCCTCTCCCCTCCCAGGTAAGTGACCAAGAAAAGGCCAGATTGTCCTGTTGATTTCCTCAGTGTGGCCATTTTTTTACAATGAGTTATTATCTCCAGATGTTCACAGAATGGGATCTTAACTGAAATTTTCATTGTATTTTTACTTTTCTCTGTCAAGTATTAAGGTTGCTTATTGGACCGACTTAAAATATCAATAATGGCTGCTTCGAAAGTCCCTGTCCTTTAGGCATAGTCCATATTCTTTCAACTAATTGGAAAGTTTTACTCACCCCCCACCCCATCCCCTTCCATTTCTGCTCTTCAGACTCTTGATACAACTCTTGATACAGGTCACAACAAGATGAGCTTAATTCAGAAGTAGGGTTTTAAAATTTGTTTTTGTTTAAAAAGCATGGTTAAATGCAGGAGGCAGGACTTTTCTTTCTACAAGGATTTCTTGAGTGGGTTGGGCTGCTGAAATAGTAGAGGGAGACATCTTAAATGAAATATCAGTATCTGGGTAGGAGGGACCATCAGTTCAGTGAGTGGGAGCAATGAGTTTGGGTGAAATCTGAAATTTGTAGGGAAGTTCTGGGACGGGTGAACTATTAAATTGGGGATCTGGAGCCACTGATCTGGACTGGATGAAAGTGGTGGAGTGGGGCACGAAGAGAGTCAAAGATGAGTATGCCTAGTCCTGTGGGAGGACTGGGAGAAGAATGGCCAAGAACAATGTTCTGTGCATCAGGGAGGGATTTGGTTTATCATGTGGCACCTTCTGTCCACTGTAGCACTTTCAGGGAAGGGCCTGAAGCTGCAAATCTGTACCAAGCACTGGTGAGGCCACACTTAGAGTACAGTGTGTACACACTTAGTGTCCAGTTCTGGGCCCCTCAGTTCAGGAATGACATTGAGGTGCAGGAATGGATTCAGAGGACAACAGAGCTGGTTAAGGGTCTGGAGCACAAGTCTGAGGAGCAGCTGAGGGAGCTGGGGGTGTTGTGCCTGGAGAAAAAGAGTCCTTCTTGTTCTCTACAAGTGTCTGAAAGGAGGGTGTAGGCAGGTGGGGGTTGGCCTCTTTTCCCAGGTGACAAGTGATAGGATGAAAGGACAAAGTCTTAAGCTGCTTCAGGAGAAGTTTAGGTTGGATGTGAGGAAGAATTTCTTCTCAGAAAGTGTGATTAGAAATTGGAATGGGCTGCCCAGGAGATTATGGAGTCACCATCCCTTGGAGGTGTTTAAGGAAAGACTGGATGTTGCACTTGGTGCCATGGTCTAGTTGATGTGATAGTGTTTGAACATAGGTTGGACTCAGTGATCTCAGAGGTCTTTTCCAACCTAATTGATTCAGTGATTTGGTGATCTGGACTGCATTGTCCCCTGTCACAGTGATTGAGAACATACAGCAGGTGAAAGGGAGGCTGAAAAGGTTGTGCACCAAGTCCAGTGTGGCCATGGGTAAATGTGCTCAGTGGCCTCTGACCCTCTCTCAAATGATTCCAGGGACAGCAGCATTTGCAGTTGGCATTTGTAGAGGTAAGTGGGCTGCTGTTTTTATCTGTTTAATGGTGTTTTAATTTTGATGTTGGCCTGTGCTACTGTGGATTGCAAGATTTTAATTTCAAAATCTACTTCAGAAGCTTTTATTGACTGCAGTAACTTCAGGCCTTTTCATCACAGAGACAGGTTTTAATGCTCAGTTGTCTGTCAGCTGGCACTAGCTCAGCTACATAAGGATTAGAATTTGTAAGTCTCCCTGTGTTTTTAAGAAGACTGCTAACCAGGATGTCCAGAAGAATAGACTTCAGGCAGAATTTATGGTATATTTTGACTTTTTTGTACAAATCTTATGCCTCAAATTTTGCTGAATGACAAACTGTGCTGTTCTAATCCTACAGCTACTGTGTTTTATTATATTTCATGATACTGAAGCCATTTGTCTTGTGTTTTGTAAGCCACTAGCAGAGGGATTTCCTTGTCTATTTCTTACACAGGCAAACATGCTGAAGACATATTTGGTGAATTGTTTAATGAGGCCAACAGCTTCTACATCAGAGCAAATTCCCTCCAAGACAGAATTGATCGCCTTGCTGTCAAAGTCACCCAGCTGGATTCAACAGTGGAAGAGGGTAGGTAATTGCATGAAAGCATTGAGCCAGAAGTGATGTTGACAAGAGCACAGCATTTAATTGCACAATAACCTCTGTGTTTTCAAAGTAATACTGTAACAATATTTCATCTTGTTGTCTCAGTAAGGCAAGCTGGGAGTAATCACTTTAGCAGAGCAAGTGAAAGTATTCTTGAGTCAAGAAGCCCTGTAGTAACAGAGTCATTAAGCTGCCTTTTTCATGAGGAAAACATTGAGTTTGTGAGTGTAGTAAATCATAAATGAATAAATATAGACCTTACTGGGAGTAAGTCAGAATAGTGGAAAAAGTTTGGACTGGGTGTCCCTATCAGTTTCAGAGTAGGGTAATCGCAAACTGCATTAGTACATTAGTCTGTTCTGTGGTCATCAGAGATCATGTAACTCTGTATCTAAACAAGGCACTGTGTTTGGATCAGCTAGGTGAAATTCTTTAGGGGGTTCTACTCACTAGAAACTGTATTTCCTTTAAAAATATTTCCCACTTATGAGCTTGGTGGTTCATTTCATAAATACACAGTAAAAACAAAGGATTTAAGTAACATCATTGTATTGTTTGAAAGCACTTATTTGGGTAGATAAAGCATTTCTCTGTCTAGCTTTCAAAGCTGTTAGCGTACATCTTGGCCTCCATGCTACCTGTCTGAGCCAGCCAATGCCTGTACTTCCTGTTTAGATGATTCCTGACATTTAATAAAATGTCAAAGCTTTTTATATCAGTACAGTAGTGTAATATTGACTTAGTAGTAGTTAATACTGCTTGTGATATATTTAATAGTGCTATTTATATGGCTTATATATTTCATGTGCCATTCAGATTTTTGTAGTTTATATATTTATAGTGCAAATTATTAGTGCCAACATTAAATTTTAGTGTTGATATTTAATAGTATAATGGTGTAATATTTAGCCTTCCTTTTTTAGCTGCTCACTGTCTGGAAATTATTACATGTTGTCATTTTATGGTTGTGGAACATACTAACTGTTAGACTATCACAGTTGCCCACAGAATCTGTAGATGCCCTGTCTCCAAAGAGACCTGATTAAGTGAAATGTGTCCTTGTCCATTGTAGGGGGATTGGAATGAGAAAATCTTTAAGATCCCCTCCAAACCAAACCACTCTGATTTTTTGGTACAAGCACCTGCATTTTGCTGTCTTAGGAGACAAGAGCTATATGGGAACATAAACTAACCTCTTATGGGATCACTATTCAGCTAGGTTTTTGAGGCATATCGTGTTGGTACTATGAGCAAACTAGATGATATTAATATACTGTACTTTTGGAAATGGCAGTTCTCATCTTGGTTTTGCTGGGTTTTTTTTCTCCCCCCCCTTTTTTTTTTTAATGCCTCATTAATGTCTCATTAGTGTTATGCAGTACCACCCAGCTAGTTTTCAGAGTTTGGAGAATAATTAAAAGCAATATTTTGGAAGGGGAAACTTGTGTGTGGACTGAGAATTTAATCAGTGTTTATTTTAAATTGACAGCAGTTGTTACTCTTGCATTACTAATCATGCTTCATATTAATAAGCTGTATATACAAACTGCTGTCACCTTAGTGTCAGTAGCAAGTTTTATTAGCTGTTTCACTGTGGAAGTTGAAGTCTTTATCATAATTTATTGTACTGTCAGAAATAGAATGTTTCTGGATAGCTTCGGCATTTAAGCAAAATGTCAATTGCAAGGTTGTTTTAAAAAGCCCTTCAGATTTGATTGCATCAGTGATTTCTTATATTCTTAGCTATAACTAATACAGTGTATTTTAAAATAAATGAGGTTAAGTTTTCAAAACTATAGAAATAACTCATTCAAAATATCTCCAGAATTTTTTGTGTTCTTTTGAGTGTCTTCCATCAAACAAGAATGAAACAATTCAGATATATACATCTAAAAAATCTGTTTGAAATACCTTCTACTTACAGGCAGATTTAAATGGAAAGTACTTCCAGAAATGATACTCCAGATGTTTTGATACTTCAGATGATGTGAATAGGGGAATGAGTATTAGACATTAAATATTCTAGTTTTAATTTTTTGCTGTTGTAGAAGTTACAGAAGAAACTAATTAATTCTTGGAATGAGAAGCAAGACCTCAGCACAGATAACAAAAATATTTGGGCAGAGAAGTCTGAGTGGGATTTGGTGTCCACTATGACAGACAATAACAGTGTAAAATTTCATCCCTTTGTCTTTTTTCAGGTCATCAGTATACTACATTTTTGGCTGTTACTGTTCATTTACCTTGTGAAATTTCTCACAGTTTGTCCTTGAGACTCAATAAATTGGATGTATGGGAAGAAGTATTAGATGAAATGCCAATGGGAATAAAAGGAGACTAAGCTGGTGCATTTTGTTTGCACAAGTCCTACAGTTTACACTCTTATAAAACACTTGGATTGAATCCAGGGGTGGTCAGTGTCATTGTAGACAACCCAGTGAAGACTTCAACATCCTCTTCAACTGCAGTCTAAAAGCTGTATTTCAGTGTGCTTAGGGGTGAAAGACGACATCAAACGCTTACTGCCGCTTTTAAATTGTGATTGGCCTTTAACTGGATCTTCTTTAACAATATTTGCTGCATTTCATGAAAACTTGTATTAAGAGTGAAAGAAAGCCTTGATAAAAGTGACAGGAACAATTAAAACCAACTTCAACCTTTCATTTGAAAAGAAAGAATGAAAAGGCTGGTGTCATTTTCCCCAGAGCTGTGTATGTGAAAATATAAATTGAAAGTACGAGAGTGCAAGTATTTCTCTCTGTAAAGATTTGATAAGAACTTAAGAGCAAGGAGTATTTAGTTATATGGAAAGACATAGGAGTTGAAAGAGAGTGAAATAAGAGGAACTCTGTCTCTCTGTCTCTCAGGAGGTTGTTGCAGCTGTAATTTAATTATACTTAGAATGGGCTGGAATATGTGTATAGGTAGCATGTGCAATTATAAAACACACTGTGCCAGAGGAATACCAGGCCTTGTGTTTCAGTCTTGAAGCCAGTGTTTCTGCTGTTAAAACTCCAGGATAAACCTTATAAAAATGGGAAATGGTTGGACATCTGCATTCAACAGCATTCTTGCATCATCTTCCAAGATACAGTCAGTGGTCCCATTATTTTAAGTGAGGTTCTGGACCAAGTGAAACTTAAATTTGTTTCATTATGGTAATTCTTGCATGCCTTTGCACTTAAATATCAGGATTATCCACTAAGGAAAAACCTGTCTTTGTGCTAACTTGCTGAAAATATTTCAAATAATTAGTGAAAAAAGGATGTTGTGTATCCACTTTCACTCCTTTCAGACATATGGTAAATGTATTTCTGTTTCTACTAGTATCCTTACAGGACATCAACATGAAAAAAGCATTCAAGAGCTCAACAGTTCAAGACCAGCAGGTAGTTTCAAAGAACAGCATTCCGAACCCCGTGGCTGATATTTATAATCAAAGTGACAAACCACCACCTCTGAATATTCTTTCACCTTATAGGTAAGGAAATATTGATTGTTTACCTTCTTGTACTTTACCCTTTATTTCCTAATTGTATTTCCTAATAATTATAACGGAGGGAAAAGCTATATTGATTATTGAGATTTGATTTTTCAAGATTGATAAAACTCAATCTGCTAACTAAACAATTTATTTCTTTTTTAAGAATGGTGTAGCACAGCATTTTCAGTGTATTCTATTTGTAAGAATAAGAATTTTTAAGTGCAAGGTAAATGTGTAGGATTTATGAATAAAGGATGTGTTTTTGCTGTTGCTACAGACAGTGGTGGTATTTGTTTGTGGACCTTCAGTTAGTAAGGGTTGTTATTGATCAGCTTGAGGCTCAGATGATCATCAAAGGTACGTTTTCTGGATTTAAAAGATACTAGTTCATGTATTTTTAGCTTTTCTTCTGCTGCTTTTCCAGGGATGATAAGAAAGATGGATTGAAGTTCTATACTGATCCTTCCTATTTTTTTGATCTTTGGAAAGAAAAAATGTTACAAGATACTGAAGATAAGCGAAAAGAAAAGAGGAGACAAAAGGTAAAAGCAGAAACATAATAACACATTTGTACATTACAATTTTATGTGCAGTCGTCCAAGCGTAAAAATTTCCAGGTCATACTTAGTTTGTGTGCATGGAAAGATTGTTCCTCTTGTGTGGCTGTAGATTCAGTACATTCCATTTTTATAGCTTGCCCTGTCTATTTTAAGAAGCAGCAAATTGAATTTTAGGAGTGCTGTGGTTATCTTCCAAGATGCTGTTTTGACTCCTTTGCCAGTATCTGTTTATTGGTACCCAGAGAAATGGCCCTCTTATGCTCCAGAAAAAGACATTGTAATGGAGAGAGGAAAGGAGTTGGAATTAGAGTTTTTTCCATTCCAGTGTTCCATTTTTTCCATTCTGATTTAAAAGGAAAAAATACAGATGCCTTTATAAGAATTTTTAAAATCACTTGAGCATTTCTTTATTCCTATAGAACGATTTCTACAAAACTACTTATATATATAAGTTACTTTTAGACTTTAACTTAGGCAACACATCCTGCTTATTTCTATCCATGGTATATTTTTTTGTAGATTTTAATTGTCTTATTACAGTCTACAAATGCAAATATGCTCAATTCCAGTCATGTAGTATTATAGCCATACATCACAGAAATACCCCTTGAGAAATTCTAGCTGAAGTACTATTTGATTTGATTAAATATATGCCAAGTCCAACTAAGAAAAAAGCAGCATAGACTTGAGTCTGCATGGATAAACTTCACTTTGTGATGGGAAGAAATCTGAGGTTTAGCTTTCCAGAAGATGGTTTTCAAACATTTCATGTCCTGTGTCCTTTGGAGAGCAAGATGGTTTGGGTGGAATGTGTCCCAGGCACTTTGTTCCACAAGTTGCTGAACCAAATGTCCTTTTTCTTTTATTCTTGTCCTTGTGGTAGCAGTAACCAGAAATGAATCCAGAGCATTTATTAACAATATGATAGCTGAATTTAAATTTTCAATCTATTAAATGAGAATTCTTTACTCAATTTGTGCTCTACAGAAGCACAAAACTTGATAGTTGTTGAGAAACTGTGCAGGTGAAATAAATGTGTATAGTTCAACAAAGTACAAGCTAGATATCCAAATGCCATCTTACTCAGCTGACCAAATGCAGCTAGTTTTTAACCTCAATTTTTTATGTGCTTGGTGAAATCTGAGAGTAGTCCCTGCACCAGAGAATCAGTTTTCCAGTATTATTTTGATAATTTGCCCTAAGTGCTTGAGCTGTTGCAGCGGGAGGTTTATGAGCTGTTTAATTTTCTTGCCTCAAATATCATGCTTTTTGTTTCTGTATACAGTTTAATTGAAAATATCTGACAGGGATCCTCTGATTTGACTCTTTCAGGCAGTCTTTTTCTGAAGAAAAAAGTAATTTTAATCCTCTAAGTTTAAAATCTAGTGTAGTCTATTTTTTTTACTTTCTGTAGATCAGTGTCTGAGAGTTCAGTGTAGTTTTGACTTGGTATTTACCAGTAGTATTCTAAATTGAATGACTGTAGGTAGGGCAGTTGTGATAAACAAAGGATAAGCTGTTCTGATTTGCTCTTTATTGTGCTGGCTTTTTATCTGAGAATAACTAGCTATTCTAGCAAGTAAAAATTTCTAAATTGGAAGGCTTGTATTTCAGAAATCATTCTTGATGACTTGTGTTTTGATAGGCTTATATAAATTTGTGGTCAGGAAGATACTCCAGTGTCATGCTTCCAGTTTTTTGAAAGTATTGCAAATACTTGCTGAAGCTGCTTTTTATTACTAGCTCTTAATTCTTTATTAAGGTGCTTGAAATATTGTTTGCTAATTCTTGATGCAAATATCAAACTTACAATTAACGCATCACTGTTTGAAGGCTCTAATATGTTTTGTGTTCGCTGAAATAATTTCCTGCCAACATGAATGACTTGTTTTCTGGCCTAATCTACAGCACCCACTTGTCTGCCACAGCTTCCATTTCAGTTAGTTTAAAAATGGTAACTCCTCTTAATATTACTTTAATTTTCTGAGAAATATTTCCAGCTGTAATTATCTAGAAAGGCTTCAGCTCCCCTAGAACTCTGTCTCTTTGCCCTGGGTTGTAAAGCTAGAGCTGTCACCATTGTCAAGGGAATGAAACTGCTACTAGAACAACCTAAAACTACTCTTGGAGGTACATGTAGCTTTGTCAGCTGCTAGTAATAGGGCTGCCCCACTGATCTGGAGACATTTAATGTTTTAGAGATGTACTGATATAATATTTAATCAAAATATTGGTACCAGTAGGGTTTAGTACTGCTTGAGTAAAAAGGATTCAAGTGCATTCATTAGGCTGCTTACAGATGCTGATCTGGAACAACCTGTCCAGCTGAAATCTGATCCAATTAAAACCAGCTAAGCTTTGTGCTTATTTTTCATTGTTTATGCATCCACATGTATAAACATTTTTTAAACTTTTTAAAACTTTTTATATACTTTTTTCATAAAAAAAGCTGATCTCTTTAAAACTAAACTTCTAAATAATAAGCAACAACTGTAAGCAGTCATGTAAACATCCATGACTGTACAGGAGTTGTATCAAAATTATTGTCTTCCCAGTAGCATCATATATTGGTCAAAAGGTGAATATTTCTTTTATTTACAATCTTGCAAGAAATAGATAGTTGTGATCCCCAGATGACAAATTGTTGTTCTGAAAGAAGACAAAATGAAGTGTTTTCAGTGAAAATGCTTACTTGAGCTTTCTTCTGAAATATAACATGACTTAGCAATCAGGATAAAAGTCAAAAATTAAAAGAAACCCAAAATATTTGCAGCAAATAATTGAAAAAGACAGATGAAAATCTTTTAACAAGCATATATTCAGCCATGGCAATTAGCAAAACTATATATATTTAAAATAAAGCATGACTAAATCTTGTGTCCTTTCTGCTCCAAATCCTCTGTTGGCAGAATTTGATGTGAAAAAAGTGGTTATCAGAAATAAAAAGGGTGTGATTCTAAAAAGTTTGTGGAGGAAAAATATTTTGGGAGAACTGATTAAAAACCAAGATGATCATTGTTATTAAACATAAATCAGACCAAAATTTGTTTACTGTAGAAATGAGCAAGAGTTGTAATAACATTTGGGTGTTGAACTTCAAGAAGTCTTTTCTGACATTCTAAATGTTAGGAGGGTCAGCAGGTCCCTCATGCAAATATGCATGAACGAGCAAGAGATCCAAAACAAGGACAAGGAAGCCATTTGTTAGTTTTTTGTTAGTTATGTAATGCCAAACACATTATTTCACAATTATTTACTCAGTGCTCTTTGACAGTTAGAGTAAAAAAACCTGTGTTCATCTGTGATTAACTTTTTCTTGAGCTGGCTTTCCAACTGGTATCCCTTATTTCATGGGTCTAGATTCCCCAGTAAAAGGCTTGCCTACCAGAATTTGACCAAGCTTTTCTCTTAATACAATTCACTGACTGCATTCTCAGAATACCAATATAATTCTTTCCTGAGAAACTATTTTTCTAGCAGCCAAAAGCCTAACACCAACCTACTAATAGATCAAAGGCGTAGGATCCAGAGCTGATTGAAAAAAACCCCTATGCTCTCATGAACACTGTAAAAAGGAGTAGCAGACCCTTCTCAGTCTGAATTGAGCAATCTTGTTCATTTTTTTCTGTAGAACCACCAGTAGGAGTTTTATATTCATACTGAGTAGTCAGAAGTAGGTGAGTACAACATTTCCAATGTGTAAAAGCATTAGGTCCAATATGAGGAGATCTTGCTATCAGTGAGGTAGAGATAAATAGCAATGATAAACACTGATGTTGGTTGAGCCTGATGTTATATTGAAGGGTAAAAGCAGCCAAGTTTGTCATGCACCTATCAAGCTGTAATATTCTGCTGGCCTGAGTATTGCCTACTCACTGCAGACAGAATTAGTGTAATTCATTTTTATATCAATGATGAGGAGAAACTAGGAGGAATTTCAGTAGTTAATTAAATCTAAGAAGAGAGAGGAAGTTAAGACAAACAAAAATAATTTCACATAGACTATGGAATAGGAAAGTGTGTCAAATTTCTCCATACTTCCCCTGACTCTGTTGATTGTGACCATAATGAATAACCAGAATAGCCCTGAGTTTATTTAACATTCTCAGAAGTTTGATTTTCAGGAGATGAAAATTAAAAGTGCTTCATTGTGGTCTAAATAAAAGACATGATGTCAAAAGAAGTTTAACTTTCTGGCTTTTGAAATTGGTCCCATTTCTGTATTAGGAAAACCAGGAGATTGGCATCACAGTAGCACATGCATCCTTACAGAGCAAAGGCAAATCAAAAGTCTTGCTACTAATGAGGTTCATAGCGTAAAGGCATACTCTTTAGTGCAGAGAAATTTTACGAAGACTTGGCTTCATCTGTAAATCTGGTCTTATATTCATGCACTCTAACTGCATTTTAACCAGCTTTTTTCCTTTCCTTTTTTCTCTCTCTTTGCATGCTTTATTTCTTTTGTTTGGACATTAGGAGCAAAAGCGTATAGATGGCACCACCCGTGAGGTGAAAAAGGTTAGAAAAGCCAGGAACAGACGCCAGGAGTGGAATATGATGGCATATGACAAAGAGCTTAGACCTGACAACAGGTTGTCTCAAAGTGTGTACCATGGAGCATCTTCCGAGGGATCACTGTCCCCAGATACTAGGTCTGTTTACAGCAAAGCTGTTTGTTATACCACAGTTGTATGTTCAGCAATACTGAGTAGAATTAGGTGTTTTTACAGGATGGGAATAGTTAGACAAAACATACAATGCATGTATAAAACATTCTTTTCAAATTTATTTTGAAGTGTAAACGACATAACAAATTCTGTAATGATTTTTTTTTCTTCCTCAGCTTCACATGAGCATTTTGTCCTCTTAATGTTATGTATTGCAGGGAAAAAAGTGTTTGCTGCATGCTTTGTGTTTCATCTTCAGTAGCTGTAATTACAAAGCATTTGAGCCTCTACTAGATAATGTCAGTAGCTCTTCCTTAGTGTCTAGTTTGTTGTTTGGTGCCCTGCTGGTAGCTTAATAAATATTTTTCTGTGATCTACTCAGTCGAGAATACTTTTGCCTGTAAGGAATACTTCAGTGGAAGAAGAGTTCAGCTTTTTGATGTTATATTAGTCTGAAAACCAAGCTACAAAATCAGATGAGATGCTACTGCTTGAAATAACAAAAATCTCTGCTTGGAGATAACGCAGCAGCATTTGTCTTCATTGACTGAGATTCCCTTTGAGCTCATTGGGAGCTACCTGATGTGCAAGTCTTAGTTTTTGCACTAAGCTGGTCTCACCAGAGGATTTTCCCACTTATTTTCTCTGTGTGTTGTGATTAAGTACTAGTGGTAAGCATAGAAATAAATAGGGTCCACTGGAAAAAGTGTTTAAATTGTTGAATGGCTAAGTTGAGGAGGCAGCTACCGCAGCAAGAGTGTGGAATGATGCCTTTAGTCCACTGTACAGTGGAGATTAAAAGATAAAAATCTGCTCAGAACTTTGCAGTGTTGTGGTCTTTGTGAAAAGTAATGAACTTGTAATTGAAACACAGTATTTGATATTGCTATTGGTCTTTCAGTAATGTATTCAGACTCCCTCACTGTCTAAAAACTGTTGTTTGTTTAGTTTTATTTACAGTTTCTAATGCAAAACTTTGTCTCCTGTTAGTCTTAATGAAACACTGCAGACTGACTAAGCTTTACATAGGTTGATCTAGCAAAAGCTGTGGATTTTTTCATCAGGAGTTCTGTTTCACACTTTTTGAGTCTTTTTTTCAGGTTTAACACTTTGCCTCCAGATTCCCGAGTTTAAATTATCATATTGAAATGATTTGTTTTTATCTTCCAGCAATGTCAACATGTATTTGGCTGTTTGCAGATATGTGGTATTTGCAGTCTGTGGGAATTTTTTAAGCAGAAATTGTAGGATGCGTCTGTTGGGTTTTGATGTTGTTTGTGTGACAGATACCTTGTACTTATATTATGCCTTTTATATTTTATAAATTATGGAGTATTTTACATTTCAGTGAATCAAACATTTGAGATTGAATCCTGAAATCTGTTTTACATCCATGAAGTGTTAATTCTGAGAATGGTAGTGGGGTGGAGAGAGGGCTTTCTATTTTTTCACCTTGGAGTAGTCTTAAGCTATAAAAAATCCACACATATAGAGAAATATGTAATGGTTTGAGAGACATTTTCATGCTGCCAGCTACTGCATGAGCAGTGTTCTGTAAGTCAGGTTCCAAAGAAGTGCATTTGGTTTTACTGTCATTTTTTTCTACTGCTAAAGTAAAAAAAAAAAAAAAAAGAAAAAAAAAAAAATTGGTCGTATATCTTCTAGTTTACTAATTGTAAGACTTAAGCATTAAATGTTGACATCCCCATGTTTGGACTGTGGCAATTTACAATGTATTTGTTATACTTATTGTACTTTAGAGAGAGAAACACAAGCTGAATCCAAACAGAAACCAGCAAATTAATGTGAGAAAAGTAAGAACAAGAAAAGAAGAGTGGGAGAGAAGGAAAATGGGCATTGAGTTCATGAGTGACGCAAAGAAAATGGAACAGGCAGGAAGCATGAAAGAGGACAAAATGCCCAAAGGGTTTGTTATTTTGTTTTGCTCAAAGCCCTGGCTTTTTGTTGCTTACCTTGCTTCCAGTCTCACCGATAAGTGCATCAGTTCCCTGTGTTCACTAAAAGCCAGGCTGCACCATTGTTCATTACTAAAACAAGTCTTCACAGTAATGGGATGAAAAGATCCTTTTGCTCCCTCTCTTGGGCTTATTTGACAGAACATCCTAGACTTTGTATCTTTATGAACTCTCTGCTCAACTAATACTTACATTTCCCAGTTTCTTTAAGCCTTTCCAACAAAATTAATTGTGCGAACAAAATAAAAAGCATTTTCTAACTTTCAAAATTGTTTTTCTGTGCATTGGTAAAATATGTTCTTCTGCATAATTGCAAGTGCTTGTAGTATTGCTTTTCTTTTTCTGCTGCCACTGTTAACTTGAGGCAGGCTGGTAAGTATTGCTATTTCAAACAGTGGACTGTCAAAATCATTGACAAAAACCATAAGCTTCATTATGGCTACTAAAATTCTTGTGCTTTCTGTGGACTTAAAAGAGAAAACTTCATAAGTTTACTTGATAAATCGGGGAATCCTCTTGCAAGAAAGATAATACTGATTATATTCTTTTTCGCTTGTTTTGTCAGTTATTTAGATAATGTCCTGTTACACTCACATAATCTGTTCTTCTGCATCAATTTACTTTAATTTTAGGTCCCACGCATCCGATGTTACAGATTATTCTTATCCTGCTACTCCGAATCATTCCCTCCATCAGCAGATAGCAATGCCTTCCTATGGAGCAGGAGATAGTCCACAGTACATGGCAGCATCCCAAAGCCACGAGCATGAATACAGACCACCCTCCACCACTGTACGACACGCCACTTTAAACAGACCTCAGCAACCACCTCCACCTCCACCCCAGCCTTCAGATGGCCAGCACAGCTCAGTACCTGTGGTACCAGCAGAATATGGGTAAGTCTGATTTATTCTAGTAGATTCTTGGCAAAAGCAGAGGAATGTATGTTTTTCATAACCGTTGTAACGTGTAATGCATCAAAGAAAGAGACCCCAAATACGTTAGTTACCTCCTTGGGGAGGACAGAAGAAAATTGGTTTAGTTTCTGTGTATGAACTGAATTTAAGTGAAGAAATAGTGAAAGCAGAAATAACCAAGTTTGTATTAAATGAAACATGTATTGGTGAAGTCAGTATGATTGTAAAATATTAAGGGTGCCTAATACAATATCGAAGAAGGGATAATTTTCCTTTAAAGTAGGAAGTAGTTACAGGATATTTTAAACTTCAGGAAATGTGCAGAAGGAGCATTGTTGATTGTGATTAATCTGGCAGTCTTTGTTGCATCCCTGAAATCCCTGAAAGGCATTTTTAGAGAAGCTTGTGACAGAATTGGAAGGGGTCTCCTCAGACACAAATTCCGTACTGCCACAGGAGGAATGCTGCTTCTTAATTCAAGACAGAGATTTATGAGATGCCTGTGTAGATATTTTGCCTGAATGCATTCTGAAGGAGGGCTTGCTCCAGGGTTCTGGTTCTCCTGTTGCAAGAAAACATCTGTTTTCTAATAAGTCTGTGTCTGTTCTTTTGTGTAAATAGCTTAAACTTTCAAGCTGTAACCCCAGGAAAGTTGTAGTCATTCTTGCCTGTGTTGTTTTTTGCTATTCAAGTCAAGGTTTGTCATCCTTGCTTGATCCTGGGATAGCCTTTGCCTGATTCATGGCTATCGTGCTGCAGATGACTCAATTAGGAGGGACTGCTCCAGCCTGCCCTTTCTCTGTTGTTTACAGTGTGTAAGACATCCCGGTGCTTAGTCCTCAGGTCCATGACTGTTGTCGGGGTCTTGCAGTTGTCATACACTGGCATGTGCCACTCAGTGTCTTCAGTCACTTTGCTTCAGCTCCTGTCTCCTGTATCTAGTTCTTTACCTACTTCATAACGCTTATCAATTATCTTTTCTTTTTTTTCTTTTCTGATTAAGATTTCTTTCAATGACATTTTAACAAAGAAATGAGCTCTTCCCTGTGCCTCCTATTTAAAGAGCCAATCAAATGTATCAGTTTAATTAAATGGTATTTAAACTCATTAAATTTGACCGAAGAAGCACATGAGATACATTTACCTTTGGGTAAATATTTCCTTTCATACTCTGCACTGTTCTCCATGTCTGTGTCCTCTATTACCTCTTGACCTTCTATGGAATTGAAGGATATAGTCTGCAGTTTTCTTGGTCCCTTCTTCTTCAAAGACTTTGTGCTTAACAGTCCCACAGAGTAGATGTTTAATAAGAAATGAGGCTTCATACTTAACTGGGCAGGAGAATTAAGATAAAGAAGCTCACTTTGTAGCATGCTGAAAGGACATTGCTTTTAACTTCAATATTTGTCTTAAATCTCAATATATCAGCAATATTTGACTATTCTTACGTGTATAATCACTTGCATATTTAAGTCACTAGTTTAAATGGCTTTTGATTTTTGTTTTACCTGCGGTTGGATGAGTGCAGTTTAAGGGGCGATAATTTTGTAAGTTCTAACTTTGAATGCATTAAATGTTTTTGTTCTGTTTTATATAGGATGCTCCCAGCTCAGATGGTGGATTACTACAATCCTACAGGTCCTCCCCCTCCTCCTCCCCCTCCTATGATTCCTTCAGCACAAACTGCATTTGTTAGTCCCCTTCAGCTTCCTGTGCCACCTTCCCATTCCGGACTGGTGACTGGCTCTACATATGCAGCTACTCATCCTCCTCCTTCTGGTGGGCTTGTTGTCACTGCTCCTCCTCCTCCTGGCCCACCTCCTCCCCCTCCAGGCCCTCCTGCTGCAGGTGCATCCCTCTCTTCCTCCCCCATGCACGCTCCTCCGGTGTCGGAGGCGAAGCAGGCACCGATGAGCGATGCACGGAGCGATCTGCTGGCTGCCATCAGGATGGGTAAGTACACACTGAGTTTTAGGTATTCCTTTTTTCAGTGAGAGCACAGTGTTTTCCACTGAAATGAGTTTATGGCTTCTTTTCCCAGCTGGGAAGATTTCATTAGCCACAGGTACCACACACCTATTCTGACGCTTGTCAGCCATGAGATTGGATCATTTTCTAGCACCTAAAGCTGCACAGCTTTGTCAAGCATGTTCTAGTGTTTGTGTGGACATAATCTAATGAACACATCACTTGTGTTCATTATGTAGAGTGCCAGTACATGTACATGGATTTTTGCTTCTGTTCAGAAGAACTGAATTACCCAACACCAGGCTTCAGCCCACTGATTTTTTAACCAGTGACTTACTCTTAACCAGAGCTTTTCCTGACCTTGCTTACAATATGGAGCTGTAGGTCTAACAGTATTTCCAAATACAGTTTTGAAAACTTTCATCTTCAGATCAAAATGACCTCTGCAGTCTTGGAATATTTAGCTTCAGCATATTGTTGACAGTTTTAGAAGTCCAAAAGTATTCAGTCTCTGAGAATTATTTCCAATCTGTCATTTTTGTCTTTCCCTCTTCCTTACTCAAGGAGGCTCTCTTCTCTCAATGCTTGCTTTCTTTTTCCCCCTCCGTCTTCCTGAGTATTTTGTAAGGATACAACAAACCAATAACAGTGTCAAATATAAAATCTCTTGTCTGGAAAGCTTTGTCTGAGAGTAATTGTCTCTGCAGGAATTCAGCTGAAAAAGGTGCAGGAGCAGCGTGAGCAGGAGGCGAAGCGCGAGCCCGTTGGCAATGACGTGGCCACCATCCTGTCGAGGCGCATTGCCGTGGAGTACAGCGATTCCGACGACGACTCCGAGTTCGATGAGAACGACTGGTCAGATTGAACGTGGTCCAAGCCTGCTGGCAACTACATTAAATACTTGGCTTCAGTGATTGCTTTGTTAGCAAGATGTAAAGCAGGATGTTGGCATGTGTTAAGGCTAGTGAAGGAAGTACTAAAATTGAATTGGTATTATTCAGAATGCTGTAGCTTAGCAACTCTGGTAATAATGATGTGATTATGCTTATGCAGATCAGAAACTTGTCTTACTTTCAGTATTTACTGCATAATACTTAAGTGCCACTAAATGTAGCAACTCTTGTGCTGCGTGCAAAATATGATGCAGTTGTTGCACTGTTACAGAACCAGCATTTTATTTTACTTTCCTGTTATTGAAGGGATAAAATATATTTTTTTGACTTTACATCTTACTCTTTTAATTATGTAAGCAACTTAGATACTTGTGAATTGGTCTGGTTGTTAATCTTTGAGGGCAGCTACCTGTATGGCTGAGTGAAGTGTTGAGTTTCATAAATGTGACTTCTAGCTTTTTTATTAGGTACTAATTATGCCCACCTTAGTCTATTTTTAACCACTTTTGGGCTTAAGTTTTTATGCATACAGAATTGATTTTATACTATCTTCCTTTTTATCTTAAAAATGTAGCAGATGATGAAATGTATACTTTGAAGAATGACCCCACATGATCCAAAAAGAACATTTGGTGAGCAAACAGATATGTCTGTAACGGTACCAGCTCTAAATTGCTGGCTGTTTGTTGGGAAGAGTGTTGGGGGGTCTCTGCTGGTAGCAGATGCATGTCTGTGTTATAAATGGAAATGAAAATACCTGTAAAGCTTTTCAGTCTTAATATAAGATCAACTGGATGCAGAATAGACCTGATGGAAACCCTGTGGCTGTTGCAGTGCAGAAATGCTACTGCTATTACTAAAGATTGGAACAGTCTGGATCTAGCAATCAGATACATTTCACAAGTATTAAACTTGGTCTTTACGCCTGTAGGTATAAATGTGTGTAAATAAGTTCTGTTGTTGTTGATTTGTACATGTGTAGTTGTGTAGCACATTGACTCAGAACTCTTATTTTGAATGTATTTCTTTCCCAGTACATCCCATGGATAAAACAGGAGCAGTTAAAGCAGTTTTGATGGCTGTTGGGGTACTGTGCCATATATATATATATATATATATATATATATATATATATTTACAGTCACTTTGTCCTTTCCTAGGCATAGTTGCTGCCATAAAGCCTGCTTTGTCTGTCTCTGTTTTCCTTGTTTTCCATTTTTTTATCAGCTGTATGGTATTAAAATGGTTTGGTTTGTTTTGGGTTTTTTGTTTTTTTTTCTTTTCTGGACCAAGAGTCAGGCTGCTGCTCTGCCTAATGAGGCTTTTAAATTTTATTCATAGCTGGGGAAGATTTCTTTCCTTACCAGATTACAGTTTTAATCTTTGTAACAGAAGTCTGTGTAATTCCAGGTCTAACATTTGGTAAACCTCCTTTGTTCTGTGAGGCACCCCCATCTGTTCTTAAAATAAGTATGTAAAATAAAAAGAGAAATGGAAGGTGATTATCTAACCTGTGTTTACACCATTAACAGTTTTAGTCCTGAGAATGTAACAGTCTAGCAATGTTTGCATGCAAACTGTTGGCTACTGCATTGCTGTTTAATCTGCATATGATTTTTCAATCCTTGGTGGCTGCCTTTATGGTAGAGGGATAACGTGCTGCCTCAGGGCTGGTGTTAAAATTTATCACACAAAGTATGACCAATCTCTGCATAGTGGTGAGCAACCACTGCTCTTGGTAACCAGGGGCAGCTGAAGGTACTTGATAATCTCTGTCCCAGTTGCAGCTGGTTTTGTCTTTGCCTTAAAATGCAGAGCTGAAGTGTGCTTTATTTTGTGTCCTGGAGTCTGAGGTCTGTGTGTCCACCAGGGAAGACAGAATTTAGGCTGTAGCCTGATGGTGGCTTTCAGCACTGTGTGGGACATGGCTTGTCCTTACCATCATGGTGTGCTTGCACAGTGGCCCTGCAAAGTGATTCTTGGGAGAGGAAGCTGAAGGTACAACTGGGACCTCAGTGTTACATCACTGCATAGGTGGTGAGAGCACTCTCGATGTTCTTTTGATACATGCTGAAATGAAATGTTTCAGCAGAAAGTTCTTTCCAATCTACTGAAATTTGATATGACAGAAGATATATTTTATGAGCACAGAAGTTGGTGTGTCTGAAATTTTGTAATTTGTGCTTATTTTAAATAACAAGCATTAAACAAGCAATCAGTTGTGACCAGTGAAGATAGTGTAGATTTTTCAGTCATAGTAGCCAACCTGTTTTTCTGAACCTGCAATGTTGTCATTTTCTTTTTGGTATTTTATGGAAGAAATGTGAATTGAATTTAGTGATGTAAACACTATTCTAGGCTGTTTTTATCAGTTTTATCATACTTCGGGTTGTGAATAAGTAACAAATATGAATAAAATCTCACTTTTGAGCCTGTGTTTCTTTCCTTAGATTAGTAAGATTTTGGTGTTAATCTTTATTTTAACTTACCAGTAACAGAAGTGAAAATGTTAGACTTCCAAATGCTATCTCTGATCCCAAAGCATGATGTTCCTGGGATGAAGGATGGAGTCTACAAAACCAGATTCCTTTGAGGTACTGCTGCTCCTGCTAACATCCATACTTGGTTCTTTTGCAGACTTGATTCAGGCTCCAAGTTCGTGGCTGGTCTAAGCAGGTATGAATTTCCCTACAGGTAGCTTTAGGGATTTTTTTTTCCCCAGTGAAATGTGTTAAAGGCCAGCTCTGCTTCCAGAAAGAATAAGGCAGAAAATACAGGTTACATCAGCAAATCTTCTTGCCCACTTTTTTAATAAGAAGTTGTCTTTGTAGGTTAGTGACACCCAGCACAATACTTTAAAATACAAACCCATGTAGGCCTACTAGAAAAATACTTTAAATTTAATCTTTTAATTGTGATCAGATTAAAGCCAGGAGAGGCTTTTCATCCTGCTGGGAAGAACTTACATAAACCAATTGTGCAATATAGTAGGTTAATTGTAAATTAAACAGATTTGTTTATGCATCTTAGACTTGGTTGTTTCTTGGGAAAATAAATTAGTCTTTATTCTGTTCAACTAAAAACCCCAGTACCTCTGGCTCTCAGTTCTTCCTTCTCTCAAATTTCCCACTTTTTGATTTGAACTTAATTCAAATAATTTAGACTAGAATTCTTAGACAGCAATTCTACATAGAAACTGAATATGCAAGCTTGAATTTTTTTGGTTCAAAGGTTCTCTTAGTAAAGCATTTTAAGTGCTTGTTGTAGCTTGGTTTGAGTTAGGACTGATGGTCACTCAGCATGCTGCTTCTACAGCTTTTGTGGTTGTCCTTTCAATTTTAAAGAATTTTCATGGAACTAAACTGAAATGGATTTTTGGGTATTTGAGATTTCTCTTTACCAAGACGAAGGGAGGAGAAAAACACCTTATTGAAGAGGGGATGCATGGTGTTGAGAAGAAGCTCCAAACTGAGCTCATTTTCAGTATGCAGATGGAGTTGGGAGGAAAGGAAATGTCTCCTTGGAACATTAGTGTTTGATGTATTTTTCAGCTGTGTTCTTTCTCCTGTGCTGGGCACTGTTTTAATAATGAAGAGGTGTTCTTTTCCTCTTGGAACATCATAAGGGTACAGCAAAGATGTAATTTCTAAAAGTGTTTAAAATCTCACTGTGAACTGAACTGAGTGTAAACCTGATAATAATGAAGACTTCATTAGAATCCTGTGGCTGGAAGCTGAAGTTGTACAAATTAAATTTTGAGCTGAGGTATTAGTTCCTAGCCAAGAAGTAAAATAAATATTGGAACAGCTTATCCAGAGATGTTTTTTTACAGTGAATTTTCTTCAAGGTGACATTACACCTTTTCCTTCTGAAAAACCACACAGAAATTCAGCCTGCTGTAGTCTGCTTTGGGAAAAAATGCTTGCCCTGTGGGGGTGTGGATTTTTACTTCTGAGTCTGAAGCATTCCTGCTAAGAGTGAGTCCATACATACATGAACTCAAGTCCAAGGATTTTTAATATATTGAGGCGGATCTGCATTCAGGTGCTAAAACCTGAATGCAGGTGATACATAGGGAATAAAAATAAATTATGATCCCTGCTAGAATCCCTCAGGCCCTCGTGTCTGCTGCAGAACAGTCATGAGAGACTTGAGCTTATCACTGAACACCCTTCCCAGTTTCCTTGGACTTGAAAAGAAGTTAGGCTACTCCAGAAGGACTGTGGGTTCCCAATTGCCCATCTTTTGTTAAAAAGATGAAGAGAAGGAACAAGAACCCTGAGAAAAAGAAGTCCTTTAGGTATAAAGCAGGGAGATGGAATTTCGTATCTTGCTTTGTCTACTAAAATGCAAAGAATCTCTTTTCATGTGCTGTCAAGTCTGTGTAAGTTTTTCTGCAGAAATGTGTTCTCATCTGTGGGTGACATAGATGTCCACTCCTACAAGAGAGGAAAGTGCTCTCAGGTTTTTGCTGGGCTGAGCTTTTCAGCTATGTAAGAAGACAAGTTGCCCCTAAGATTCTTAGCTAAATATAGTAGTCTCTTGGAGATTATTCCTACTGCTGCAGATAGAGAACTTATTATCTGATTAGCCAGAGTAGGGTGGAGTTCTGTGCTTTTCTCTTGTCAAGGGGTTATGTGCAGAGTGATTTGGAGATTAGAGGTGAGGGCCACTGTTCTCAGATGTCTCAGCAGCTTCTCTCAAGCTGTTGCCTTTCTGAGTCACTCGCATTTCAGTCTCTCTGTGCTGTTGCACCACGCGAAAACGGCTCTGTTCAGCAGTCACTTGTTGCCAGTCAAGTGTAGGGTAGAGGAGGGAAGAGGGGCCTGGGGATCTGCCTGAGTTACTCTACTGCCAGTTCATACTGGACAGCCTGTCCTCTCTGTCTGGGGCAGCAACTCTAAACAGAAGTCCTGCCAGCTACACTGAGGGGGGTGGCAGAACTCATCTCTTTCCTCTCTTCCTGGAAATCAGGTGCTCTCTTAGTATCTGCCAGTGCTGATGAATTTTTTAGTGAAGTTTTCCTGAGTCATCCTGCTGTTAATGTTTGATTTCTCTAGTGAGTTTAGCTTTGTAGTCCCTTACCAGTCACCTTCTCTCCTTTCTGAGCGGCCCATGCCCGCCATGGCCGGTCACCCTTCACAAACTGGATACAGTCACCAGCCATGGAGGCAGTGTCCTTGCTCTCCTAAACTCCACAGCCCAGCACGGGCTGTCACCTGCAGCCTGTCCCTCTGCCTCCTCTTCTTGTGAGTCTAGTCCTCCTGA